ACAGTCAACCCGTGACCATGGAGCGTGCAACCGTTCCGAAATATCGGGAAAATAAAAAGAAGTCATACCGTGGTAAGAAACCTGATACTAGTGATAATCATTGTTATTTAAATTTAATTTACTTTTAATTTTTATATTATTTGCAGTATATTGGGTCAAACCCAATTTCAGAACACAATCAAACTCAATAAATGTATGTCTATCCTCAATGTAAGAACCGTGTGCCAGATTCATGTGCCATTAGTAAATGTAAAACGGTCTCTGCGACACAAGCTTGAGCTTAGTGCAGAGGTCGCAAGTAAAAAAACGAGATAACTAATGAATAATTACGCAATTGGCTATTTTACTATGGAACTTCAATAATTATATTATTTATTAATGCGTTCAGACAAAACGATTGTTGTTATTATTATTATTGTTAAATTGCTCATTAAACGAGATATATTTAAATATTTAGAGTAATTTCCAGATAGTTTTAGTAGGGCAACATCGAACGTTGGTGATCGAATGAATGCCATCCTTAGAGGATGAAAAAAAAGATGCCATCACCGCCTTACCACTGACACTGTATTTAGACTCCACTGCCATTGCAACTAGATTTTAGAAGAATAACAAATATTATAAAACGACTTAAAAAAAAAATTCTCAAAAAATAATTGAATATTATGGCAGTGAATATACTGACATTCAATAAAAATTTGACAATATATTTTTTATTAATTAAATTTTTATTGAATTGATATTCAATTATTTTTTGTGAAATTACTCCACTAGTTTGTTATAATTATTAATACAAAGATCGAACACTCAGAAAAAACACTCAGAAAAAAATTCCTTCGATCCGGTCGAATTCGAACCGACGTCTTCTTGCATACCGATGCCAGACGCTTATATACATATATATATATTTTTATATATATTTATATACAGGGTTACAGGTTAAGTCGACCTGAATCCTTTAAGGGGTAACAGTTTGCATCATTTCTGACTAATTTCACTATGAAACACCATACCCCAAATTAAACCGTTCTCATGTTATAGGACTTTGAAGTTTTTTTTTAAAAAAGTCCAATTTTTTTTTATAATGTCCCATTTTTTGTGTCATGTGCTTGTTATCATTTCGTTTTTGGTATTTTTGTGTAGTAGATTAATAGATTTAGTACTCAAAATACCAAATTTGCAAGTAATTGTACCAACCGCGCCGTAGTAGACGAGTTTTTGTTAAAAATAAATAAATAAATTGTTATTTTTTTAAATTCTTCCTTAGATATTAAAAAAAAAGTCTATGACAGTTGTGCTGCAGATGTGCTTAAAAATATCTACGGTTCTTTAGCTTTCCAAAAAGGTATTACAAGCTAGGTTATTATTAGAATGCCTAGACAAAAAGTTGGATGAAAAGCTACCAGGTAGAGTAGTAAACAATAGGGGTACCGTTAAGTTACTACCTGCGCCTATTGTCCTTTAAGGGATTGCGGTGCGTGCGAACAGGATATCATACGATGTAAACAGGTGCGAGTGAGACAAGACGTAATTCTCCGGTTATGCCATTTTTAACCGACTCATTTTGTTATTGTGTTTGGTTAGTCTGCTTACGCGATTCGTCCGTTGTAGATGCGATATTCAGTGCTCTTCGTTTTTTACTCGACTTGGCTTGTTTTCCTGGACTGTTCTTCCTATTTGTGACTGTGCTTGTTAACTGGACTTTGATTTGTGCTTCTGATTTGGATTTGGAACTGTTGAGGATGACGACCTACACGAATGAAGAATATGCCGATATGTTAATTTGTTACGGGTACTGCAATTGTGTATCCCTACGAGCTCGTAATGAGTACATAACACGTTATCTCGGCCGCCGAGTACCGGATATTAGTGTATTCGAGGGAGTTTACCGACGACTTAGAGAGACTGGCTCTGTTTTGAGAAGACGAACACACCTAGGTAGACCACGTGTTAATGATGATGATGAAGAACAGGATAATGAGATAGTTCGACGGTTTCGCCGGGATCCAACTACTTCAACCAATATCATTGCCCGAGAACTTGGACTCTCACAATGGAAAGTGTGGCATACGGTGCATACTGCCGGTCTCTACCCCTATCACTACACGCCGGTACATCATATCGAAGAAGGAGATCCTGTGAGAAGGCTGGATTTCTGCCGATTTGGACAATCCTGAATTTTTGAGAAGAATTTATGGACAGATGAGTCAAAATTTGATCAAGATGGCATTACCAATTACCATAACCTTCATTATTGGTCTCCGAAGGCACAATTAAATCCCAATAAAAAGCAGGTAAAGGGATCACAAAGACGATTCAGCCTCAACGTGTGGATGGGAATAGTTTCCAACTATTTAATTGGGCCTTTCTTTCTGCCTGAACGTTTGGATGGAGAAACATATGAAAACTTTTTGAGACAAGATCTATCTGATTTACTCGACGATATACCACTTGACCTTATACGAGACATGTGGTTCCAACACGACGGATGCCCCGCACACTACAGAAGAAGTGTCAAGAGTGGCTAGACACTAATTACCCAAACAAATGGATCGGAAGAGGCGGACCCACTCCATGGCCAGCTAGGAGTCCAGACTTCACTCCCATGGATTTTTATGTTTGGGGACACATGAAAAGTTTGGTGTACAATGATACAAACCCAATAATATCCGTCGATGTTTTGAGACAAAAAATTATTGATGCCGCAAACGAAATTAGAAGAATCCTAACCACTAGTGTAGTGAAAAGTGGCTTAAGACACAGAATGCGAGTATGTGTGCGAAACAGAGGTCAACATGTGGAACATTTATTATAGGCTTCCTGTTAAAAAATAAATAAAGTATTTAATTGTTACCATTTGTATTGTTTTCTGACCCAAGTTAAATTTAAAAGTTTACTACTACCTGCCTTTCATCAAACTTTTTGTCTAGGCATTCTAATAATAATCTAGCTTGTGATACCTTTTTAGAAAGCTAAAGAACCGTAGATATTTTTAAGCACATCTGCAGCACAACTGTCATAGACTTTTTTTTCAATATCTAAGGAAGAATTAAAAAAAAAGCAATTTATTTATTTATTTTTAACAAAAACTCGTCTACTACGGCGCGGTTGGTACAATTACTTGCAAATTTGGTATTTTGAGTAATAAATCTATTAATCTACTACACAAAAATACCAAAAACGAAATGATAACAAGCACAAGACACAAAAAATGGGACATTATAAAAAAAAATTGGACTTTTTTTAAAAAAAACTTCAAAGTCCTATAACATGAGAACGGTTCAGTTTGGGGTATGGTGTTTCATAGTGAAATTAGTCAGAAATGATGCAAACTGTTACCCCTTAAAGGATTCAGGTCGACTTAACCTGTAACCCTGTATATAATATATTTTGTTTTATTAAGTTTTTATTTCAATATTTTTTTAATTTTTAATTATTTAGAATAAGACTAAACAACAATTTAAGTCTAAAAGGCTGACTGTATAATATATTTTGGTGGTTGTATTTTTTTAAAGATTTAAGATCTGATTAACTGTGATTTTTATTAAACATCATTTCAATAATTATGGTTTTAATGGGTTTTAAGTATGATGTTGTCTGGAGGAGGTTTAAGTTACTGATGGCAAAAGTTTTTTTTTATAAAGGGTTTTGTCAACAAGGACTTTGTTTTGTAAGTCAAAATAAAACAATAAATTTTTGACAATGATTAAAATTTTTATAGTATTAAAAAAGAAAGGATTGTCAATTATGAATGAAAAATGATATCTGATAATTAATGTCCATCACGTCCACAGTTACAGATGTCGATTCTTTCATCAAAATTTTTAATCACTTTTTGACAAAATGGTGGGTCTATTTCGTTAATCACTACACGAATTTTGAGTTTTTTCGAACTGAAAAAGTACGCGAGTGAGAGAAATTGGGGTGGGTTAGAAGTTTTGTTATTCTGGAAGTGATGGAAAGAGTGGACAAAGGAAGGCCAAAGAAAAGATGGATGAATTGTGTGAAAGATGACACGGGTAAGAAAGGTGTGAGTCATCGAGTGTATAACCAGAAATAGAGACGAAATGTCATTTAATTTCTTTGAAAACTATTCTGCCATATCATTACTGTGACAACTGCGCTCCGATTGGCTAGCCCGAATTCGAAACAATTGACGGGTGTTGTCAATTGTTTCACTTCAAATCGACAAGTTAACTTAAGCTTTGCTATAATGGACGAAAATTCAAAAAATTACATATTTAATTACCGATGAAATGTGATTCCGTTTGTTTTGTAATTAGATGTTTTGCTGTTTTTCCCACACCACCGAATAGAACAGTACGGCATTGTTAGAAATATTATCTTTATTACAATAAATACAGAATTATTTTTTTTATTAGTTGGCCTGCCTATATTTCAGTGCAAACGAGAGTTGATATTTATAAGAGCTGTATCGCTAATGTGTTACCAGGATTATATGGCCCTTATTTCGTCTCTATTTCTGGTTATATACTCGATGGTATGAGTATAAAAATGACGGTTGATAGGGGAGAGTGGAAGGAAAATACATGTTCTGCCGACAACACCATGCGTGGGATAAGGATAGGAAGAAGAAGGAGAAGAAAAAGAAATGTAACCTTACGTGGTAGAAAAACAAGTTGCATGCTAATTTTAAAATAATGCAGAGTCGCACTGCCGCCTAGCTGCGGCAATGTGAGCCGATCTTTACTCTATCTGTTATTATCGTAGACGATAAACAAAACGACACTTATTATGTTAGATAGTGTTTCGTAACAAATATCTAATTATTTCAAATGTCCATTTCAAAAATACTTATTTCCACGTATTATAAATAAATCTATAGGTTTGTACATAAAAGTATGTCAACATATTTTTATATAAAAGCTTGTGATTTTTTTTACGAAGTATCACTTGAATAGCGACTGTATAATATTAATATTGTACCAAAATACAAAAAAAAATCATTCAAAATGAAATTCTTGGTTGTCTTTGTTATTGCTCAAGCTGTAATCATGCAGGTAAGTTACGTTGTTCTATAAACTTTGAGTGTATATAAATGAAAATGGCGGATAATAGAGATGGGCAGTTTTTCTTCTTATCGAGTATATAACCAGAAAAAAAGACGAAATAAGGGCCATCCGTCATTGGCAACTCATCAGGCAAATAGGCCTTATATCACTTTTAAATATCAATTCTCGTTTGCGTTTAGCGCCATCAATTGACCTGTGTGTACGTCTCCGTATATTACAAAACATTCTGTAAAGATAATATCTCTAACAATGGGGGCTGTTTCATTTGGTGGTGTGGGAAAAACAGCAAAACATCTAATTACAAAACAAACGGACTCACATTTCATCGGTACTTAAATATTACATATGTAATTTTTCAATTGCCGTCCATTACAGCAAAGCTCAAGTTAAACTGGTCGATTTTCGAATTTCAAGTGAAACAATTGACGACACCCGTCAAAATTGTTTCGAATTCGGGCTAGCCAAACGGAGCGCAGATGTCACAGCAATAATTTCCAGATTAATTTTCAAACAAATTAAATGACATTTTGTCACTATTTCTGACTATATACTCGATTTCTTGTGTAGGTACTGGATTTCTGTTTTATTCTAATTTTACTTCAATTCTACTTCTATGTAATGTGCCAGGCAACCATGTCAATTACCTCCTTGGTCTCAAACCAGGGAAGTCCCTGTGTATCAGAGCAATGGACTTCGCCCTGGCTGTGTGAAGAAATAGATTTCTCACAGACGGCACTACGGCAAAAGAGTCGCTAAAAAACCAAAACAAAGATAGCAACAAGTACATAGAAAATTCATGAAATCCGGTTCATTCTGTGGCTTAGTTGGAATAGCGTCTGCCACAGTTTACTAGAAGTTGTTGGTTCAAATCCAGCCGGTTCGCAGGAATTTTTACTAAGTGTTCGATCTTTGTATTAATAATTATAACTTACCCTCCTTTTTTTTTCAGGTATCATCCCAGGCAATCCGCCAGTACATTCGGCCGCAAATAATAGCCCCAGCCTACGCGCCTCAATTAATTGCCCCAGCTTGCGCGCCCCAAATAATTGCCCCAGCTTGCCCGCCCCAAATCATAACCGCGCCCGCTCCCATTGTACCCCAGCCCATTATTACCAAAGTTGGCCCCCCAAGCGTTGCAGAAAATCTGGCAGATACGCTATCCCTGCTCACTGTCAGCAGCCTTTTAGCCGAAACCCTGCCTCTTGGCTACAATAATGTTATTGGTGTCCCTACTCTACCCACCTGCGGATGCGGATGCGGTTATCCTAACATTTTCATATAAATACTTTAAAACTGCTTTCTGATCTGTAATCTAGGTACATAGTTCTATCCTCCTGTCATAACTGACCTATTCGACTTTTTAAAGAATTTAAGTAATTAACATATCTGGGATCAGAATAACAAGATCTACAAACTCTTCTAACCGGTTTTTTAATAACTTCTTTAGTTTCTGTTTTATTGCGTAATTGACATTTTTTTGATGGCAATAAAACTTTAGGTGTCAGTATTTTGAACAACATGAAAGCCTTAAACATGAAAGTCTTAAAAATAACACAAACTATATGGAACAAAATTACGTATTTATGAAATTTTATAACTCCAATTTAATTATTAAAAATATTGTCGACTAGTTTAGTTCGGAGAATCGTTAAACCTCTTTCCTAAAAAGATGCCATTTTGCAGATGTATCCTTTTTACACCACAGACTCGAAATCTTTTTGTAACTGTATTTGTTTTTGGCGCTCTTTTTAAAAACGTATTTTGTTGTTACTTTTCATTCTTTTATACTTTATATAACATTGTAATACCTAATGTTATGTTCCGCTACACAATTGTACCTTGGTTTTATGACGTTGTTAAAAATTACTTATAAAAGAGACTCTGTAAACGTTTATTTTCCTAGTTTAATTTTTTTTTTGTTGGTCTGTCTGTTACTGTTCTAGGACCTGATTAAGTTTATGTAATATCTTAATTCATTTACTCAATAAACTGTTCTTTATGTAACAAATATGTGTTTGCCTTTGTGATATGCTATCCCTGTCATGTCAATATCAATAAGGCCGCCTATTTACCCTGTCTTTTGTTTTCCTTATATTTAGTTTTTGTGTGCGAGAATATTCCTACATAGGTAATAGATATCAGCCGTAATGTCACCTATTTCTGTCGCATTATATACATGGAGTATA